CATTCTGGACAAATGCTGGAGACAGACATCCAAATCAGAGTGTATAAAGAAAAAGCTGGAGCTGGAAGTTCAGTGACCCTGGGTCATTTGAGAAAAACAAGGGCCTTGGGGACACCAGAATTTAGCCGAGTTTCTCAACCTCAGCCCCATTGGCGTTTGGGGAAGATGGCTCCTCCGTGGGTGGGGAGTGATCCTGTGCACTGCAGGACGTTCAGCAGCATGCCTGGACTCAACCTCCAACCTGGCAGCAGTGTCCCCACCCCGTCAACATGGCCGAATAGCCCACAGGGAAAGGCAGTTGCAGGGGGCGTCATGCCTGGTTGATGATCACTGCCCTCTGCTGTGTCAGTCCCTCTGATGGCTTCTCACTGAACTGAGGCAAAGTCTGCACACTCCTCACGGTGGATGGCAGAGTCCCGAATCCCAGCCTTTGCCTGCCGAGTGCAACCTCTGTCCTCCACACTCACCAGCTCTGATCCTCCTGGCCTCCCTGCTCAGTCCAGAACAGGCCAAGTTCACTCCCTTGGCAGGGTCTTTGCCCAGCTGTTCCCTGAACTTGCACACCTCTCCCCAGATCCTCACTCTGCTGATTCCCTCCATCAATCAGGTTTGGACTTAAAGCTCAGCGGGTCTTACCAGACACCTCCTCCCACAAGTCTAACATCGTCCTTCATTTACTGTCTCTGCCTGTGGTTGAAGTCTCTGCATACTCCTTGATCTCCTCCTAGATGGCTACGATCTGTCTCTTTGCTCTGAAACACACGTGCCAGGACCACAGGAACTCTGTCTATCTGGATATCAGTCTCTTCCCAGCGTCTGAAAGCATGCCAGGAACAGGGCAGGTGCTCTCCGTATTTGCTCAAGGAACCAATGCCCTTTCTGTTCTGGCCTCCAGTCTCAGACTCAAGGTCAACAAAGCCTCCCCATGCAACTGTGCCAGGAACCTCCCTTGATTTTCCAGTATTTGGTCAAAGAGTCACTGCCTTTCCAATTTCTGCTTGGCAGGCTGCTATGTACGACAATCCAGGTTCTGTTTCATGCAATGACATCCTGCAGAGGCGTGAGTGACTGAAACCCACGCCCTCAGGACTGTGTATGCCAAGAGAGGGCATCTTTTTCTAATTCACACAAAGGGGCCATGGGGGTGACAGCAGCCTTGCTCTCTGGCTGCCCAGTCCCAAAGGAGGTCCCCCTGCAGCCATGGTCCCTGCTGGTGCACAGGCCTACCTGGGTGAGGGATGCCTAGACTTCTGGGAATCTGCTGGAGGTGGGGTGGCATTCCCCACCCTCATTCTGTGGGCGAAGGGAGCTGTCCCCTCCTCACTCAGCTGTTCACAGGCAGAAGATGTGGTCCCCGGGATTCTCTCCTCCCTCTGGCCTCTCTCCAGACAGGGATGGTATGGAGACCTTATTGCAGGAAGGGCCGTGCTCTGAGAATTTCCCTGCCAACAGAGCCTGCAAACCCCAGGAGCAGCAGAAGGATAGGCTACAGGAGAAAAGCTAGCCTAGGAGGGGAATCCACACAGCACAGGGTAGGAGGAACAGGTGACTTCCGGATCTTGAGGCAAAGTCCTGGAGATATCTGTTAATAAATGCCCTCCAGATTTGCACCCTCCAAAGTCCTCCAGGGGCTGTTTGGACAGCTGCCCATAGGCCATTAGCAATCCAGAGGCCATCCATTGGCAGGTCTCTGGCACCTTGACAGGCTCTTGTCTTAGGCCCTTAGTCTGGAGGGCTCAAGCTCTGTCCTTCCCCTTTGATAAGAGTGGAAACTGAGGCTCAGGGTTGTGAAGCTCCAGAGAGAGTGTTCTAGAAAACAGGGGTCACCGCAAAGGCAGTGCAGGGAGGTTGAGGTGGGAAGGGGCAGCCACGACCTCTAAGCTACTTTCCCAGGCCCCTTGGCCCCTGCACCCCACTCCTCCCCACTCAGCCTTTGTGTGACTTGCTCCCTGCGACAGCTGGGGAGGCTGGGCCTCACCCTGGCTCCTGCCATCAGCCATCTCTGTGTGGCACTAAAGATCTGTGCCGGAGCCAGGCCCCGGCAGCAAGCTTGGCAGGCAGCTCCGCGTTGCCGGGGAGACCATGGCGGAGGAAAGCTACTCCGTAAGACTAGCCAGGGCCAGATGGCTGGTGGTCCCTGAGGGGTTTCTCTGGGGGCCACAGCCTCTTACACATACTACTGGGGCCCACAGGCATCTACCATGTGGGCAAGGACACCGAGGTGCACAGGGGTGGGGGCCCTGATGCACTGGCACCCTGAGGATGACCAGTGAGGCACCAAGGATGGAGCCAGGGGCCCTGCTTCCCCGGCCTGCACCCCAGTGGCCTCCAGGACATGTGTCAGAGGAGTATAAGGTCTCTGTGGCCAGGTCTCTCAGGCCCCCACCAGGTCCTTTCAGGAAACCTAAGACTTTATCAAAGGGAGGAGCCAGAGCTAGGTGGCCCAGGGTCTGAAGATCCCAGCTCTGGTGCATAGGAAGTGAGTGAGGTGGGGGCACCCCAGGTCTGGTACACAAGAAGTGGGTGAGCAAACACTGAGAGATGGAAGCTGGGTCTGAGCGGGGCCAGGGACGGGGCGTTGGGATTGAGGGCAGGACCTATGGCCAGAGAACCTGGGACCGGCTGGGCCTTGGAGACAGGAAGTTCACTCCTCCAGTGCACACAGAAGGCAATCAGTGCGTTGGATGGGCAAGGCGGCAAGCCCCTTGGGAAAGCTGTCTCTGGCCTGGTCTCTGCCTGGGGTCCACTAAAGCCTGACTGCAGGCGTGGGGACTCCTTCAGACCTCCAGAGTCCCACCCTCAGGAGTGAACCTAGTATCTCAGGACAGATGTGGCAGTTGGCTGAAACTCGAACATGGCCATTCCTCAGACCCGCTAGGTTCAGGGTGTAAACCTTCCAGCCAAGTACTTAGAAAGGCTGAGCAGGCCCAGGCCTGGGTCCTGGCCCTCAGATCGGAAGGGAAGAGCCCTAGAGCTGGTGGTGTTTCTGCCCCTGCCCTCCCCCCGCCACACACACACACACACACACACACACAGTGAAAAGCGCATCCTTGGTACTGCACAATATGGAGGAGCTAGGGGCCTGGGTGGGGACTGGGGAGGGTGGGGGCCATCAGTAGGGAAATAGGGCAGCTATGGAGGTATTCCAGAGAAATGGAGGGAGAGGCCCACCCCTCTCTGGATCTGCATTACTCAGGCAGCTCCAGGCACCTTCCTGATGAGTGTCTTCTGGTGGCGCAGGGGACAGCCTGATGCTCTTCAGCCCTGCCTTGGGCATCAATTAAACGGGAGAGGAGCCGGCGGGCTCTCAGGGTTCACGTAACCGAGCCACGCGGCTGCCCAGCCCGGGCGCAAACGGAAATCCCCACCTGCTCGAGGTTGTCACTGGCAGCGTCTGCTCCTGAGAGCTGGGAGCTGCTGCAGCCGGCCGCCCGCCCCCACACCCGCCTGCTGCCTGAGCTGTCAGCCTGACTCCCAAACAGGCTGATTATCCCCATCTGGGGAAAACAAAACATGTCAGCCGCCTTGCCTGAGAAGAGGCCTGTCTCCTTAGTGAGGCGTAATCTGAGCAAAACTCCTGCTCTCATCTGCAATCGGAAGTGAATGCCGCCAGGCCTCGCTTTTCTTAGCCCGACTTTCTGCCAACATCACCTCCTCTGAGAAGCCTTCAGGGCCTCAGCTGGACCTGACTCAGGCTCACTGCAGGCCGCCCTGCACTTCCCAGAGCCTGCGGTGAGTTTTCAGTCAATACTCCCTTCTGGGGCGCTAGGGCTGTGGTCGGAATTCCCAAATTGGACTGGGCTTACTATTGGCCGCTCTGTGGGGATCTGGGAAATGACTGGGGGCTAGAGGACTCCTGGGCTCTTCCAGGGAGGATCTCGCTCTGGTCAGATGGTGACCTGAGTAAGCTGTTCGAGATACATTTCAGCTAGGGACCAGCAGTTAGCGTAGTGGCTTAAACTCATGCTGGGCGTGTGTGCGTGCATGCCCAAGATCCCAAAAGGAGAATGGAGAAGAAGGGATTGCGGCGTGGCCATCCCCCCGGGGGGTGATTTCTCGCTCTCTGTCTCTCTCTGTCTTTCTGGTGAGCACAGGTGCCCTATAGCAAAACTTCTCAAAAAAGGTCGCATAAAGAAAAACTTTCAAAAAAAAAAAAAAAAAAAAGATACATTTGAGCTGCAGATCAGCCTTCCTGAGTCTGGGAAGAAAACTTTACGACTAAGACCTTTGTTTCCCTCAGGATCTGCCCCGTCTTTGCTGGAGTTCCCTCTGCAGGGCCACCCTTCCAACTGGCTGACATGTCTGCAATGCTTCCGCCTCAGCTAACCTTCTAACCGTGCCCCCAAATAAAGCGAAACAAAACCAACCCCAACCCTCCCAGCTAAAGGTGCCCTCACCTCCCGGGCGAGCCTCTCATACCTCCACCGCCAGGCATGGTGTTCATCTGAGGGTGTGCCAAGCA